ATGTTGCCATCTGTACATTTGCAGCTCTCCCGTATGTATTCTTTAAAACATGGCTCAGTCCGGAACTGAATTGCCTCTAAAAAAGGAGCAAAAAAAATGTAAAATATATTGGGATGGATAATTCATTTTTCTTTGTTCTTACATCAAAATCTCTTGTCAACATAATTAGCAAAAATGAGTAATGTACAAAAATATAAAATCTTCCTAATCCATATTTCATATGTACATTAAAACTCTTCATAGTTAAGAATTTTAGTCAAGAAGTGTGTTCTAGTGTGTGACTTACACCTCTATTCACAAATCCCATAGCTTTATCAGTAATGACATAACATGTTGCTGGGCAGTGGTTTTGTAGATTCCCCCTGTGTGCTTCATTATGAGAATATGGGAGTCTATAATGATTCAAAGTGGTGGAAATTTACTGCAATTCCAAACTTTTATTTCCTTGTTTTCACTTCTACACTATAACATGCAACAGACACCACAGCATAAAACACCTTTTGGGCATTTACAATGTCTTTATTCACACATATATCATAAATCACAAGTAACAAAATGTCATACTCTAATCTTTTTTAATCTTGCACCTAAAGGGGAAATTGGTTACATTTCAGTGATTATTTTGTGCTACTTGTATTGGTGACAAACTGTTCAAATAAATACATATCCCTTGAGTAAAAAAACACTGTGCAGTGTTGCAGACATCCTGCATGTGATTTAGTGCTAAAGAAAGCTTTTGATGTTTTAAGTTTAATGAGCAAACAAGCGGACTGTATATTATTTCTGTGAAAAAGTGCAAACCTGGTGTGATTTCCCATAACATGAACTAACATGTTAAGGCAACAACTATTTTAGATTTATTTTGCTCTCATTTTCTTTGCTACAATGACATTGAAGCCAAATGAGTCAGGGAATTTTAATCAGGTTCACTTTCCTGGTTGTCTTTTCAGACACCCTTTTCCTAATTTACTTCATTTTAAAATCACTTTAATGTTCCTTGCCTGTATTGTAAAACATATTTTAAGAAATGGACTTTTATGCATTTTGTGAAGACCTTCCTGCATTTTGGTTACTTGATCACATTTCTCAAAGTACTTTCAGTCTGGAAGACTCATGAAAGTAAATGTTTCTTGCACATGAAAAGGGTTTCAACCGTGTATCATTGGCCATTAACCCTTTCCTTTGAGGCTGCCCTGCCCTTTCAGCAGCAGTGAGCGATGTACTCTGAGCAGGAAGACAGTGAAAAAGGTGGAGGTTTGGGCAGGAAGCAGCAACCAATTGGTTATTAAGTAATCATTAATCATAGTGGGTCAGGTGCATCAGCATGCATAGGCTACAAAGGAACAAGTAAAGGTTTATTACATGCTGAAAAGAGAAGAAAGGAGACAACGTTTTAGCTGTGGAGCTTTCTTCAGGTGGGAGAATCCTTCTACGCCCACCTGAGCTACTTCTGCTGCTGCCTTCCTCTAAATCTTTTTCTAGATCTCTTCGTTGTTCCTTCTCTTCCTCCCTGGGCTACTTGCCCCCGTCTCTCACTTAACCAGCATTCCATCTCTTCCCAGCGATCTGTTCCAAGACCAGGCTTTCTAACCACCTCCTATTCCTTTAAAGATGCCGTCGTCACAATATCATTCCCAAAGGATTTTACCTGAAATTTAACACTTTTTCCTTTTACTCTGACACCACCCAGAGTAACACTCAGAGACTTCTACAACAATGTTTGCAGAAACTAATGCTTTCTACCATTTTCTCCCTCAAACCACAGATTACCCTTCCTGACAACAACATCAAAGAAGCTAAGGAATCCTTATGGCTAACAGCTCCACATCATCTTCCCTTGATCACTACTCTCACACTAAGAAGGCTCCACAGCTAAAACTTTGTGTTTCCTTTCTTTTCTTTTCATCATAAATCATAGTCGTCTTGATCATTAATGACTGAACAAATGTTTGTAAATACTTAGAAGAGAGATGGTGCCAAGAAAAGAGCAATGGCTAAATTCAACTAAGTGTAATGTTTTGACTGTTCTTGAAGCTGGAGTTCTGAAATATACCTTTAATTGATTTCTTACTCTTCCTGCCTATCCATCCATCCTTCAATCTGTTATCAAAGAAAAGCTTTTTTGGAAGTGGAAGAGCAACCCAGACCCTAAGCCTGAATTACATGCCTCAGACTGGATCTTTAGCCTGGCTAATTCAGTTGATTGTAGGTCACACACAGATTCACAGACACAAATTAGAAACATCAAATCACCTATGCAGCACATTTGTGGAATTTGGGAGAAATCTAAACTACTTACCCAAATAAAAATCATGCAAGCACAATGAGAACATGCGAACTCCACACAGACATCACTCAGTCTGGAACCAAATCTAAGACCCAAGAGCTGTGCGCTGTGTGGCAGGACAACTAATAACCATTACTTTTCTGCTGTTTTTTAATAATTTTAATCATTTTCTTATATAACCAAGGTAGCATTCCCAACACAATATAATGTCAACACACAGCCCTTGGTTTCATTGGTGACTGCACTGCCTGTATACAAGTAGAGACAAAAGGGCTAGTGAGCATTTTCAGAAATGTAAACCATTCTTTGAGAACAAAGCAAAAACAATACATACTGTATTTCTTCAGACGAACGCTTCAGCTGTTGGGTTGATCTGGATAACTAATACATGAGAAACACCATTTCACTCAAATGTCACATTTTAGAAATTAAGTAAAGACTTTATAATCTGAGATAAGAGTGCTATTGAGGAACAGAAAAAATAAACAGGGAAATAAATTCAATAGTCTGGAAAAGTGCTAATTGAAACTTTGATTTCATGTTAGACCATTGAAAACGTTTTCACTGAATCATAGTTAGGTGAACAATGAGTTTTCAGAAACCTAAGAAATTATAATTTCTTTTTCTACACAAAAACTGCATTTTTTCCTCAAACCATGGTTTGTGTTGAACAAGGTAAATAGGCCAAAACCTTTATATGACTTTGGTGGTGCACAGAACTCTGTACATTTGAAACATTTTTAAATAAT